ACGACATAAAGGAGAGATCGTGCAAGACGCGTACAAGATCGTCCAATTAAGGGGGACAATTACACCTTTCGCGGCGAACCTGTTGATCGATCCATCGAAGCTAATTAACCCTTTAGCTATCGGAGCGAAAAGGAATTTGCAAACTACACCAGGGACTCTACGCTTCCGTGGTATTGTTGCGTACGTTCGATCGAAGAGAAGTCGAATTTGGAAATTTGGACGCTCGAGGGTGTGAAATTTCGTGGATTTGAATGGTTTTTTTTTTTTTTTTTGAGAGTTCGAATTTTCGGCAATTTTGGAATTCAACGTTCAGAGATTTTTTTTAAAATTCGACGATTGAGTGACTCGAACGTTTTGAAATTTCGAAATTCGAACGATTCGAGATTTCTACGTTTCAAAATTCTGTGATCTGAGAGCTCGGAGAGTTGGAAGCTTCCAAAGCTTCCGAAGATCTCACGCTTCGAAAATTCCTACGCTTGAACAATTTTTTAATTCGGAAACTTCGCACCTGGGAAAATAAATGGAAGAAATCTGTGTACTTTACACCTGGAGAGAATTTCAAAATCTCACCGCTCCGAAAATTTCGAAACTTTTAAAATCTCCCGCTCTGAGAAATTGGAAAGCTTGATGATCTTCGATACGTCTCGATATCTTCCATTTCACGTGTACGAAAATATCTTTCAACACGATCCATTTTAGATAGAGAACACACCGAAACGAATTATTTACAATTTGCACTCGTTAATATCCAATCCAAAGAAATCAAGTTGAAAACTCGAATTGAAATTTTATACGATCGCAATCTGCTTTCTGTTTCAACTCGAAACTACACAACTAAACAACTCGTGCCACGGACGCGATTATACTCGATAATACAATATAAAACAAGGGGGATTAAAAAGATTAAAATATTTATAATATCTCAATGGTGTAATAATGATTATTCTCACGACGCGATGATCCAAGAAAAAAATTAACCAACATCTAGAAACTAAAAGAAAATTCTAAGTTACTCTAGTGCTATAATTTTGAAAGAGATTTATGAAAATTGTTGAGCTTCGCTACGTTCACAAAAGGATGCCCTCTTAAAGAGATTATTAAGACCATCTTGAACACGTTTCCAAAGTAACGAGACTCCTTATAACAATTCCTAAACATACTCTAGACGCGTCAGTGCGGAAGGCGAGCCTCTGTGAAATCGAATTCCTGTCAGTCCACTGTAAAATTGAACCATCACCCCTCTTTTCGCGATAATAGCGTCGAGGCTTCTCCGAGAGTTAGGCAGGCTCTCCCCGTGGCTCCTCCCTCCCCAATTCAGGTGAGACGTCTCAATTTGCATGTTCCTCGACCAGGTGAATGCACCGCTTTATTAAGCAGTGAATTTGCGGACGGAGAACTGGAACGAGCATTGTCATTCCAGCAACGAGCCAACTTCGGCTCGATTCTCCTTACCTCTCCCACGTGGATGTTTGATCCCCATTGTTCGAGACTCTACCACGCCGCAGTACGAATTTAGGTCTGCCACGACGTACACCATTAAAGCATACTTCCTCTGTTTTCTTCCACCGTTTCACGTTTACAATACGCTTCCAAGCGTATCGCTAGTTATCGTCGTAAGAGACTACGCAGGGCAGATTACATTTTCAGAAAACGAGAATATACTCTTAGAGCATATTCTCTGGTAGTTCGTGAATGCTGAGCTTCGAATTTCATTTGTCGCTGGTTGTGGTTTTCTTTTCTTCTTTTTTTTTTTTTTTGTCGAGATTTGATTCACAAAGAATGGATCTAGGATCCATTAATTTGTGTTGAGAAATCCATTAATTTGTATTGTTTGTGTATGAAATATATAAAATGTAGAAAATAGTGTTTCGTGGATGCTGAATTTCATTTCATCACTGGATTTTCTTTTTTATCGCGATTTCAAGAATAAGAATCTCTCTTTCTGGAAGTCTAGGGTCTTTTTAATTTTGTATTGAGAGTGTGTTATAAAATAGTTTCGTGAAATGCTGAAATCACGTCTGCTTTCGAATTTCATTTATCACTGGGCCTTCTTTTTATCGCGACCTATGGTCGACGAAATGTTAAACATTTTCTTCGCGAACTTCTTTTTCAGACACATTACACTCTCGATGATTAAAGTCTTTCCTTTACAGTCTGACCTTTTGGAACTATACGATTTTTATCGAACGTTGAAAAATTCAAGAAATCCTGAACATTTCTGATAAAAAAAAAAATTTGACAAAATGACGACGAAAAATCACACAGCAAGTTTCAAGGTAAAAGTTGAATTTCGATCTTCAAGATCGAATGATGGATCTAGTTATGAAAAAAATTTTTTCAATGTTTTCACTCACACTTGAATCCACCGTGAATGTTTTCAAATATATGTTTCTGAGAATTTTTTCAGAAAAATTTTCCAATGTTTTCAGAGAAAACTCTTCTTCGCATGATTAATTGGAAATATGAAATTGATTCGAAATTTCTCAAAAATCACCAGATGTTCCTTTTTGACATAACGAATCGACACTGAAGGTGCAAGATAATCAAAAATACAAGGAAATTTCTCACGTAATCTGCTAATTTTACGCAACGTGCATCTCTGAATCGTAAATTGTAAGAATATCCCATATTATGTTACGTGAAATCAGTTTTTAAAGCTGTCGTAAATTACCATGCATATAATTTGCATTCGCCGAGTACAACGCGCAAAGTTATGTAATACAGCAAGTTTTTCCTCTCAATCGAAATGTAGAACGCGTTGGTATCTCTCGTTGCATCGTGAAAATCTCGCGACAGACACGGGCCATTAATCCCCATCAACGTCCCATCGATACCATTCACCATTGTTCCCGGAGAACCTCGTATCGCTCGGCGTCACGAACGTCGAAAAATCGCCTGGCTTAAGTACCCTATTGTTTATTGAAATTATCAGTCCGTGGTAACAGATCGCAGATCGATCAGCCATTGATTAGATATCGTTGTTTTTATTGTCGTGAAAGTTAAGAGTTATTGTGGAATTTCAAGTTTCATCAGATTTACCGGATTTTTTTTCTTTTTTCGATGACTCGTTGACAAAGATGAAAGAAGATTCGATTAAAATCACGTTTTGATTTGTTTCTCAACTTTTATTTATTCGTTATGTCGCACGAAGAGTAGAAAAAAATTGAACAAAATATGTTCATTGCAAAATTTTTGTTGCAAATATTCGAATATCTATAAAATTATTTTCTTTATTATTGAAACATTTAAAATAGAGAAAATAAAAGAAAATAACTCTGATAACGAACAATCATCATTATTGACTCCGATGAGAATAAATTTGATACTGACTCATATTTCAAAATAAGCTAATACAAAGTGCTATCGTTTCAATTATTTTGTAACAAAGAGCTTCAAATTTTCATTGTAAGTATTTAAATATTTAATTGCTGCAATACTTTTCTCACTTTATTTTATATGACGTATGAAATCAGTTATACTTTCATACATATAAAATTTCTAAAAAATTTATATAATATTTATAATAACATTTATAATAAATTTATGTAATATTTATAATAAAATAATTTATATAATAAAATTTAACAAAATTATAGCTAATAAAAGATATATTATTATATATATTATTTTAGCAGTATTTTTAATAAACGCAGTGGTAAGGAGTGCTGAAAATGAAAAGCGAAAAGCTAACAGTAACCAGACTGGCTACTGACAGAAGAAAATCTAAAACAATAGCCAGAAGGGCCACTGAAAAAGAAATCGCGATACAGTAGTCAGAAGAGCCACTGAAAGAACTACTCAATTTTCCTACTCCGATACAATAACCAGAAGGGCTATTGTCAAATCTCCATTCGACATAAATCCGAGCAACAAATTGTCTCTTGTTTCGCAACACTAATTCACTAACATTAATTGTGAAACAGGAAATTTTCAAACTCAAACGCGAAGAGTGCTTCGTCATATTTAAAACTCCCGAAAGTAAGTAACGCTATTAACCTATGCACTCATATTTGGAAATACGTAACACTAATTGCGATGCGTCCAGTGCAACCATAATGCAGATTGCTGATGAATGACCACTCTACAGCTCTTGTAGCTGCATATATGCAATACTAGCAAGCGAAATGTATATATTATAACTGTTAAAATCGCGATGTGCAAGAAGCACAAGCTACCCTGATCTAATACATAAAAAATCCCCAAAAGATGTTACTATGATTTATTGATATAAAAAATATCCGCGGTCACTATGCTCATCAAAAATTCTACGTATACAACCAGTCACCCGTGTCGACTCGAACCTTTCGTCCTACGACATGATTGTGTGACCAGAGGAACAAAAATGCATGCGACTCACCGCGAAGAACAATATTATCTGCACTGAATCAAAGAAAATCGTCGTGAAGATCCTGATCAAGCAGATGTTACTGAGAATTCCATGGTGGAAGTGAACGGCGTAAAGAATTTCTTGAAAAGCACAAAGACACAGTGTTATTTGTGAAAATTTAAATTTTAATAACGATACAAATAATTTCAAACGTTTTTGTTTTATAGTTTATAATTTTACATTAGGCTTTAATAGAAAGAAATCTATAGAGAATAGAATTAATGCACAGTGTGCTAAAATACTTACATTCTTAACTTTTGAAGCATCGTAAGACTTTTAGAGAATAAGGGAAATTGGAAATTGTTGAGAATCTGTAACAAAATATAAAACATTAGAATTTGTACTTAAAAACAAAGCAGACTCTCAAGTTTGAGATAATGAAAGATTCTTACATTCCTGACTTTAGAGCCAACGTTGAATTTTCCCCAAAATATATCAAAAAATTGATGCTGTGAAGCGTCTGTAACAAAACATTAAACATTATACTTTATTGTCAAATTGGAAAAATTGAATAAATTGAAGTACAATATATAAAATTTCTTACGATCTTGATCTCCTGAAGAGATCTCATCCTCTTGAGCACTGACTCTAATACATCAAAAATAAATGTTGACTAAGAAGAAATATGAAAAAAAATAAAAATAAAAGACTATCAACGCGCACGTTTAAGTAACAACCGACAAACTCACTGATTCTAACTTCGCGAATTATAATGTAAATGAATTGATAATTCAGTTTAATAGGAGCCACTTTGCTCAGAAAAATATTAAAATATTATGCAACAAACACTGACTCTGCCAACCGCATTGCGCGCGGTCACAAAAATTTTCTGAAAATAAAACTGATTAGAAGGATTTTTAACAAAAATGTGTTGTTAGACAATACATATCTAACAACAATTGATTTAAATTTTTACCTGAGAACTTCTGAATGACACTTCTTTCTCTGAGACTTTTCTGGATAACGCTTCTTTGCAGATGAGGTGTGCTTCGTTCCGCCATTAAAGGACTGCTCTGCCGCTTAAAAATCGATCGTGAAAAATATCGATTACGTTCGGGAATCGTAGGAAGTGTATTGCATATTTCACCGTGTAGTGGCGCTGCAATCTTCAACTAACTTAAACCCAATGCGCGCGCATCTCGCACGAAATGTTAACTGGGAATAAAAAAATAAAAAACTCTGAAACAAAATACGTCTAAATTAAATACACCAAATTCGTAAGAAATTCTTAAAAAAGAACGAAAATATTCACACACTTGATAAAAAAATTGTCACTAATTTCAACTGAGAAATGATAAATTTTATTATATTACGCAGTAGAATTATTATTTTAGCCATTAAATACGTACGTCCTTAATAAATTATTGTTGATTTTAATATTGGAATCATTAAGAATTACGCAGTATGAGGTTAAAGAATTAACAAATGAGTAGATACAACAGAAGTAAATATATATATATATAAAGTCATATTAAGTCAATATTTGTATTGATTAGAATTGAAATTATATTTTGGCATAAAATTTTAATTAACTTTTAACAGATATGTTCTGTTTAAATGTTTATATGCCATTATTTCTACAATTATTGAAAATTATGTGTAATAATTGTTTGGTTACATCTTACCTTGAGTCAAAAATGCACATTTTATCTTGAAAATTCACAATACATACACAAATCTAACAATTATTGATTTAAATTTTTACCTGAGAACTTCTGAATGACACTTCTTTCTCGATGATTTTACTAGATAACGCTTGTTTACAAATGAGGTGTGCGTCGTTCCGCCATTAGAGGTCTGCTCTGCAAAATCGATCATTCGAGAAATATCGATTACGTTCGAGAATCGTAGAAAGTGTATTGCGTACTTCACCGTGTAGTGGCGCTGCAATCTTCAACTAATTTAAATCCAATGCGCGCGCATTTCACACGAAATGTTAACTGGGAATAAAAAATAAAAAACTCTGGTCTAAATCAAATATACAAAATTCGTGAGAAATTCGTAAAAAAGAAAATATTCACACACTTAATGAAAAATCGTCAATATTTTAAAATGTTATAAATTCGTGATATAAAATGTATAAAGAATATTTCAAATGTATAATGAATTTTTCGCCAGTCGCTGTTTTATGAAGTATATATCACTGATTGCATGAAAATTGAACTCATATTTAAATAATTACGATCAAGTATTAACACAACACCAAAGAAACAGACATATTATTTAAAATTTTTCTGCTAAATTTTAGTCGATGTGGACACGACGGAAGTTTGATTGATAATGAGCCTCATTATCGCTCAAGGTAACATATGTTTCATTCGTCAGTAATCCAGAACTGTTGATAATTTTTTTTCAAGCTTCTAAAATTTGGTCGATGTGCCCACGACGAAAATTCAATTCGTAATTAGCTCTTGTCTCCATATCGATCGACATTTGTTCGTTAATTATGCGATACAGATAATGAAAATTTTTTAGAAATGTATTAGTGACTCGATTACTACAAATCATTAACTGAAAATTTTAAATAAAGCTTAGAAATGTTATAGAAGAGAATTTATTGTTTAATTGTTACAAATAAATTATTAGAAATATCAGACAATATTTAAATAATTAGAATATTCAGAAATATTATTTAAAATTCACTCCTAAATTTGGTCGATGTGTACGCGACAGAAGTTCAATTGATAATGAGTCTCCGTACCGCTGAAGGTTAATCTAATGTTCCGATCGTCAGTGACCCGGAACTGTTGATAATTTCTTTTTAGTATTTCGAAACAATTCTTCTATTATATTAATCAATAGTTTTTAGATTTCTATCACAAGGTTATACTTTCATAAATATGTTACAATGTCAATAGCTTATTAATGTAATAGTTTATTAATTTTTGTAATAGCTTATTAATTTTTTTATCTATAACTGGCTAAAACTAAATTTACACTTTCATGATATTAATTTCTTACAACTGCATTGATATATATTGAATAAAAATTTATGTAGAGAAAAGTTATGTAGTCAAAAATCGAGTAAAGCAGTGATCGTCGCTTCAAAATAACATATAAGCGCAATATGTAAAAATTTTCGTTTGTTTATTGTTTCAGACAGCAAGAAATATATGTATTATGTAACTATCTTTTCCGTTATTGTAAATAAAATAATTTAACTATTAAAAATGAATTATTGAAACTATGAAATAATGCTTGGGAATTCTGTCACTGATTCAATTGTTATAAGTAAATAGTTAAAATTGTTAATATACAAAAATATCATCGAAATGCATTATATTACAGTTTGAGTAATTCATTTGAAACAAATTATTTTATGTCTACAATATTTCTAGACGAAGCTAACTCACTAAATAACTCTCAAAGCAGATATGACAACACTGTCCATATTTTTTAATTTTAATTCTCATCGCTAGTAGTGTTGCAGCGCAAAACCTGCTTAAATCGATACGACAGGATGTGACGAAAATGATAAGAGGGTCCCTAAGACCCCGAAATCATGGGACAAAAGAATACATTGCGAAGTCTCTTCATATCACCTCGGTCACGTAACAGAACTGTAATCAAATCGAAATATAACATAAAGCAGAGCAAAACATGCTCAAAATTTGAACGTGTTAATCAAGGTTTAATAAAAAAAAAAAAAAAAATCAAACTCACCCCATTTCCATCACTAAATTATTTGCAAGTACTTTAACTGGCGACGAATAATTCACTACACAGAGCTACAATCAAATCAAAATATAATATAAAACAGAGTAGACGACCACGCTCAAAAATTTGAACAACGAACGTGTTAATCAAAGTTTAATAAAAGAAAGAAGAAAAGAAAAAAAAAATAAACCAAACTCACCCCGTATCCATCTCCTTTCCACAACCAAAACCATTTACAAGCACTTGAACCGGCGACCGAGCTGTAATCAGATCGAACCGACGCGAAAAACCACGCAACACCTGGGCTTACCACCACCCCGCGACGTAATTAACCGGATGCATTATACTAACTAGGAACGCGTGAAATACAATACGGTGGCGGCATATGAGGCGTCGAACGTTCGGATTCGTTCGGAGGGAAGGTCGAGTAATTAGGTGACCCCCGACTCGCAAACGTCGATGTCATTATCCGTCGCAAATCGCACGCTGCGAATGAAGGAAAAAAAGGGGGAGGGGGGTGGACACAGGTTGAGGATACGTTCCCTCGCACGTAATTTATAATTATCACGGGCCTCTCTCGTTGGTTTTCTTTTTTTCCTTCGTCCAACATGCGTCTCTTTCGCTTCCTCTCTTTGCCCCCTTTCTACCCATGTTTGGCGCCGCGACTCGTGAATCGAGTCGGCGAATTAACTAGACTGGCGCGTAATTAAAGCAATTTGTCGGGTAACGCCGATGTCGGCGATGCGATTTAACCCGGGCGACAGCTTCGAGATGCCTGTTATCACGGTCGGTTTTGTTGTTGGCGTGAAAAAAAGGAGAAAGGGGAATGGGTGCCCTTTGTTACGGTCGAAGGTGTACTCGGACACGGATACGCGAGTTCCTTCACCTCTGAATCTTTTGCACATTGCGGGCGTAATTTAAACCTGACAGATAGCGTGAGCGAGAGGTATTACACGCCTTTCTCGCTGGATCGACCAGCGAAGAGCGTAATTGTGACAATGAGAAACTGGTTATTACCTTTGCGTTGTCAAATTGAAAGAACCAAGCAACGAAATTATTTTCTTCTGCAGTCTAAGCAGACATTAGTTGAATGGCTACAGTGAAGAGCATGAAAATGAGAATGAAAAATTGTCGATAATTTCAACTGAATTTATACGAGTATGAATTATCGATAATCTTTCATTGTCATCGATACAGTTTGTACTCTTTACCATATTTCTTTCTCTTGTCAAGGAATTCAAGAAAAAGAAATCTCCGAGTTGATTATTATTCAGTGTAAAAGTAGATTTCTTAGTTTGTGCAAAAAATGATTAACAAATGATGAAACAAAGTGAAGATAGTTTCACCTGTTCCCACTACGGTATAGCAAATTGTCCTATCCGTAAAGTTGAAACTAAAGTAATCCTACAACAATGAGTTACAACGGAGGCCGAGATGAATCGTAATAACATGATTTACATCTCTTTCTAAGTAGATTATTCTAATCTCGACTAACGACAGATCCAATTTGCCACGCTAAGTCCGTAATACTGCAAAATTATCCTCACACGTTGTACAACTGTAAGTTCAACCTGCGAGTAGGTTAAAACCAGACCATTTTTTTTTTTTTACATATCATTTTCTTTTTCATTATCTTGCAGTAAGTCTATTTCTCCAATACTTCGAAAAATTTTGAGGTAAACATTATGGACGTCATTAGATCATTGTAAATATCACCAATCTAACTGATACTTCGAAAAATCTCTGTCCACGTTCATCGTGGACTATATGGAATTTTATAATCATTATAGAGATCATTAAAACATAAATTGTAAGCTCACTTTGAAAAATTCATTCGATCATTAGATTGCATCATTATAAGTATCATCGATCCAAGTGATACTTTGCAAAAATTTGATCTCTGTCCACATTCATTATGGGCTAATTTTATAATTATTATAGAAATCATTGAAACATAAATTGTAAGATTGCTTAAAAAGTAATGATGTTTATAACTATGTTTATAACTAATGATATTATTATGAAAATCATCGATATTATCAAACACGAACGTACGACAACATTCTTTTAACGAAATACTTCTAACCGAGCTATTCCAATTAAAATATTAGACAGACGAATGCCATTGTTAAAAAAAAAATTATCTTGATTCGCAATTCCAATTCCAATCAATCTGAACAGGCTCTCGAACGAAGTACACAATATATTGCTGATTTCTCATTATTCTGACGAGGCATCCGGCGATCACATCCGTTAGCGAGTGCGAATGTCGGAGTTCCTCCTCGGATTCGCACGTTTTAATTACTGTAAATCTGTCCCACGTCGGCCGTGAGAGCTCCATGAAAACGCGAAAGCGCGTTTCTCCCGACGACGATCGATTGTTCCTCCTCTCCCTGGAGCTACCTTCGAACAAGACGCCCGAGAAACGTAATTAAAACGCACCGATCGAATACAATAAGATCGCGCTGTCTATTAATTAAATGTCAAGAGACAATTTTGCGAATCAGATTTATACTTGGCTCTTAAATGACAGAATTAATTTTCAATTAGCGAGGTTGCAACCGGTGTTCGTAGCAATTTTACAAATACTAATGATTAATTAAGTAAACAATATTAGTATTATTATTGTTATATTATTATAATTATTAGTAAACGATAAATAAATAACATGAATTCTCGAACTGCAGACTTCGAATTAGGCAAACCTCTCTCTAAGTTTGTGGAACTCTGTGCTAATTAAATATTTCTAAAAATATCGAAAGACCTGTAATTGAACATCAGCTGGAAATAAGCTACAATTTTATATATTTATTTATTTATATATATATATATATTTATAATTAGTATATATATAAATACAAATAATATATATATAAGTATATATAAGTATACTATAACTATATATATTTATTTATATATATATATATATATATATTTATAATTAATAATTTCTCGGACAAAACATTCACGAGTTCTCGAACCTCAGACTTTGAACTAAATAAGAACTCCTTGAACTCCTTTTCAAAAATTCAAAACTCTACATTAATTAAACGCCAAAATATATTCATAATGTTTGTGTATTGGATTGGTCAAAAGAATAATTAAATTTCTGTGTGTGCAAATGAAAGACGAATTTCTCGTGACAAACAGAAATTTTGTTGG